GAGGAGGAAACGAGGAGAGGAGGAGTGAGGAGGAAACGAGGAGAGGAGAAGGAAACGAGGAGAGGGGGAGGAAACGAGGAGAGGAGGAGGAAACGAGGAGAGGAGGAGTGAGGATCAGAGGAAAGGAGGAAGAGGACGCAGCCTTTCATGGTCAGGACGTTCCAGTGTCAGCTAACAGGATGGTGCGTTCAGGGACACTCCGTGCTGCTTAAAGCTGGTTGTCTGAGGGGAGACTCACCCTGGTAGGCGAGGAACATCTTGGTGAAAGGAGGCATCCGGACCAGGAAGTGCAGCACGGTGCCGCTGTTGGAGTAGTGCGAGCCGTAGTGATAGGGCTGGACGGGGGGCATGGGGTCGTCCTCTCGGATCCCCTTCTTGTACTCCTCCTCCAGATACTGAACATCAACAAACAAACACAGGTTGATGGTTTCTGTTGGACCCGGTTCTCCAGGACAGACGTGTGACAGAGCCTCACCCTGTAGTTATCCACGTAGCGGTCCTCTTTCTCTTTGGACTGCACAGCGATTGGTTTACTCAGATTCCTGCAAAGAGGCGTTCAAAGATCAGACGAGCGCAGAATACTCGCTTTAACTGAAGGTCACAAGGCGGGACTCAGATCCATCAGAGTCCTGAACCAGCTCAGCTGACTCCTCTCGATGTGAAGGAGTACCCGCTCTACTGCGAGCTCCTCCCCCTGAATGTCTAGGCCCTCCTCCTTAATGTATAATCTCCTCCTCCTGAATGTATAAGCCCCTCCTGAACATATAAGCCCCTCCCCCTGAATGTCTAGGCCCTCCTCCTGAATGTCTAAGCTCCTCCTCCTTAATGTATAAGCTCCTCCCCCTGGATGTATAGGCCCTCCTCCTGAATTTCTAAGCTCCTCCCCCTGAATGTATAGGCCCTCCTTCTGAATGCCTAAGCTCCTCCTCCTGAATCGAGAGCGTTGCCTTCAGGCTCCGCTCCGTCTTCACCACACGGCCGAGCCAGCCCGCCCTCATTAATGAAGTGAAACTCCTCCCCCCCACTGACCTGTAGATGCCCGCCTCCTGCAGGTCGAGCGTCTCGCTGGTGTAATCCCTCAGGATGAAGGGGAACACGGGGTACTGCATGAGGTCGTTGAAGGAGCGTCCCGCGTGCTTGTTGAGATGTGTGAGGTACTCAAAGTTTGAGATCTGACCGGAGCCCCACAGCTGAGTGAGCGCCGTGATGTTCCCGTGCTCCAGCAGGTTGGGGAGGTCAGAGGTCAAGATGTTGTGGTACACGTCGTCACGGAACTGAGGAGAGAACGCACAAACGGCGAGAGGTTTTACATCGACAGAGTCGAGACGATGAAACATCAAAAAGTGTCAACATGGGTCAGCTCGTGGTGCGTTCAGGGCTCGTGGTGCGTTCAGGGCTCGTGGTGCGTTCAGGGAACAACTGTAACAAAGAGTTTTATAATGAAACCTGCTGTGAATGCGATCAGCTGTTTGAGCGTCACCTTGCTCGTGTCGAAGGCTAACAGCAGCGTCCTGCCATTGGTCAGGAAAATCTCCACGCCGTTGTCTCTCAGCTGCCACCAGCGTTTGTGCACCTCTTTGATCTCCTCGTAGGTCCACGAGAAAGAAGGAGCCTCGGTCTCCCCGTGAAGACTCTGCACAAACACATCAACAGGTGAGCAGAGACTACTTCCTGTCCCGTCCTCGAGAGACGGGTCAGGACAGGAAGTAGTCATCACCCGTCCTCTGGACTTACCTGGCTGTCGTGAGCATCAGCGGCGTTGTCCTCCACGAAATACATGCCGGACTTTCCTGTGAGGAGAGACGAGAATCACTGACCTCCAGCTGAGAGTCAACAGGAAGCTGACCTCCAGCTGAGAGTCAACAGGAAGCTGACCTCCAGCTGAGAGTCAACAGGAAGCTGACCTCCAGCTGAGAGTCAACAGGAAGTAATATTCTTTGTGCAGCGTGAGCCGCTGACTCACCCAGCAGCAGCTCCCCCGCCGTCTCCCTGGAGGGGGCGACGCTGATGCAGCGCCTGGTGAACCTGACGGGACAAAGACACATTTCTGTGAATGACGAGGAGACGAGGAAACGAGGAGACGAGGAGACGAGCAGACGAGGAGACGAGGGGTTCATGTGGTCACTGTGAGCTCACAGAGACGAGGAGATGAGGAGACGAGAAGACGAGGAGACGAGGAGACGAGGAGACGAGGAGACGAGGAGACGAGCAGACGAGGAGACGAGGAGACGAGGGACGAGCAGACGAGCAGACGAGGAGGCGAGAGGTTCATGTGGTCACTGTGAGCTCACAGAGACGAGGAGACGAGGAGACGAGGAGACGAGGAGACGAGCAGACGAGCAGATGAGCGGACGAGCAGACGAGCAGACGAGCAGACGAGGAGACGAGGAGACGAGGAGGCAAGAAGTTCATGTGGTCACTGTGAGCTCACAGAGACGAGGAGACGAGGAGACGAGCAGACGAGCAGACGAGGAGACGAGGAGACGAGGAGACGAGGAGACGAGCAGACGAGAGGTTCATGTGGTCACTGTGAGCTCACAGAGACGAGCAGACGAGGAGACGAGGAGACGAGCAGACAAGAAGTTCATGTGGTCACTGTGAGCTCACAGAGACAAGGAGAGGAGACGAGCAGACGAGGAGACGAGCAGACAAGGAGACGAGGAGACGAGCAGACGAGCAGACGAGCAGACGAGCAGACGAGCAGACGAGGAGACGAGGAGGCAAGAAGTTCATGTGGTCACTGTGAGCTCACAGAGACGAGGAGACGAGGAGACGAGGAGACGAGGAGACGAGCAGACGAGGAGACGAGCAGACGAGCAGACGAGAGGTTCATGTGGTCACTGTGAGCTCACAGAGACGAGGAGACGAGGAGACGAGGAGACGAGGAGACGAGCAGACGAGGAGACGAGGAGACGAGGAGACGAGAAGTTCATGTGGTCACTGTGAGCTCACAGAGACGAGGAGACGAGGAGACGAGGAGACGAGAGGTTCATGTGGTCACTGTGAGCTCACAGAGACGAGGAGACGAGGAGACGAGCAGACGAGGAGACGAGGAGACGAGAAGTTCATGTGGTCACTGTGAGCTCACAGAGACAAGGAGACGAGGAGACGAGCAGACGAGGAGACGAGGAGACGAGAAGTTCATGTGGTCACTGTGAGCTCACAGAGACGAGCAGACGAGGAGATGAGCAGACGAGGAGACGAGCAGACGAGAGGTTCATGTGGTCACTGTGAGCTCACAGAGACGAGCAGACGAGGAGACGAGGAGACGAGAAGTTCATGTGGTCACTGTGAGCTCACAGAGACGAGGAGACGAGCAGACGAGGAGACGAGCAGACGAGAGGTTCATGTGGTCACTGTGAGCTCACAGAGACGAGCAGACGAGGAGACGAGCAGACGAGGAGACGAGCAGACGAGGAGACGAGGAGACGAGAAGTTCATGTGGTCACTGTGAGCTCACAGAGACGAGGAGACGAGGAGACGAGCAGACGAGGAGACGAGCAGACGAGAGGTTCATGTGGTCACTGTGAGCTCCCAGAGACGAGCAGACGAGGAGACGAGGAGACGAGGAGACGAGGAGACGAGCAGACGAGGAGGCGAGAGGTTCATGTGGTCACTGTGAGCTCACAGAGACGAGCAGACGAGGAGACGAGGAGACGAGGAGACGAGGAGACGAGCAGGCGAGAGGTTCATGTGGTCACTGTGAGCTCACAGAGACGAGCAGACGAGGAGACGAGGAGATGAGCGAGAGCGAGACGAGGAGGCGAGCAGACGAGGAGGCGAGAGGTTCATGTGGTCACTGTGAGCTCACAGAGACGAGCAGACGAGGAGACGAGGAGACGAGGAGACGAGCAGACGAGGAGGCGAGAGGTTCATGTGGTCACTGTGAGCTCACAGAGACGAGCAGACGAGGAGACGAGCAGACGAGCAGACGAGAGGTTCATGTGGTCACTGTGAGCTCACAGAGACGAGCAGACGAGGAGACGAGGAGACGAGGAGATGAGCAGACGAGGAGGCGAGCAGACGAGGAGGCGAGAGGTTCATGTGGTCACTGTGAGCTCACAGAGACGAGCAGACGAGGAGACGAGGAGACGAGGAGACGAGCAGACGAGGAGGCGAGAGGTTCATGTGGTCACTGTGAGCTCACAGAGACGAGCAGACGAGCAGACGAGGAGACGAGGAGACGAGGAGACAAGCAGACGAGCAGACGAGGAGGCGAGAGGTTCATGTGGTCACTGTGAGCTCACAGAGACGAGGTTACCTGATGGGCTCGCTGGTGGCTTTGTCTTTGACCGTGGAGGAGAAGGACGAGTGGGTCTTATCCTCAAACAGGAAGGACAACGCCGGCTTCACCGTGTCTAAAACAAGACAAGAGAAGAGGTCTGTTTACACCTCTGAAGGTAACGTTATTATCCTTAACCAAAACACACAACATGAAAAACAAAACTGTGTTTACAAAACTCAGAAGAAGTTAAAGGTCTCATGTTCTATAATATAAACTTCTCCATGTTCCTCTAACTCTAACATGTGTCTCTAGTCCGTCTACAAACCCCCCAATGATGAGAAAAGTCCATCCTCTCCGTCTTCTGCCTGCTCCACTTTTCAGAAAATGTGTGCTCAAACAAGCAGTTTGGAGATTTCCCCTTCATGACATCACAAAGGGCAGTAGCCCCTCCCCCAGGTGGGTGATACTCCCACAGCTAGGTGTTTGTTCTGCCCTCTGAGTCTGCCTTCTCACTGTAAACAATAGGACATGGAGCGAGAAAGACCGAGTACACCTGAGCCCTTCCAGAGAGGGGGCGTGGTCAGACACAGCTCATTTACATATTTAAAGGTACAGAAACAGCTTAGTTTCCATCTTTGACACAAACACACCGAGTGACTTCATGATCTCAGAGGCGTCAGGTTATATTTGGATGAGTTTTAACGTGATTCTTCTACGATCTATCGGGTTCTTTTAGAGTCGATCTTTATCGGACACACGCAGAGTTACCGCAGTAGAACCAGAACCTGAGGAACACAAACATGTGATGGTCACCTTCGGGCTTGCGTCTGTCCTTCAGCAGGTATTTGTTAGGAATGGTGAGGTAGCATCTCTGCAGCCGCCGCCGCTCTCGGTTTGGCCCCTCGGTCGGGTCCAGCTGCCACGACGTGGGGTAAGAAGTGTGCTCGTACCAAACCGCCCTGAAACACAAACATCACAGTTAAGAACGCCGTGACCACCTTCAGTAAGGACCCCGAGGTCCAGACAGGAGAGACGTTTAGATTCAAATCTCTCAAAGCTTCATTGAGTGTCACTGAGGAGCCACATGTCAGCAACCAACCAATCACAATGCACTTCAAGTTATGAGTCCTGACATTTATATCATTTTATCTTCTTTCCATTAATGTTTACATACATATATACATTTTCTTTTCTCTAACTAATTTTTCATTTATTTATTTAGATTTTTTATGTTTTCTTGCTACTCCTCACTAAGTTCTGCACTTTAATGCATCACACGAACACATTCACACCTTTCTAACAAACTACGTGAACATAACAATGCTTGACTTTCATCTCGTTTAAATGTATTTGTCTGAATCTTTGTTTATATTTTGTATTTTCTTGTCTTTGTTTATTTGTTCTCGCTTTAGTTGTCATGTCTTTATATTCCTGTTTCATTTTGTTCACCTTATCACCAATAAAAAAAAAGTGCCTTCTCTCTTGTCCACCCCCCCCTCTGGTTTCTTGAAGGCGTTATATAACTCCTCCTCCTCTGATTATTATGGGATGTCTGACCGGTCGTGTGTGAGCTGCTGCACCAGCTCCTGCCAGTGTCTGCTGGCGCTCAGCGTGGTCTTGTACAGTCCTCTGATGTGCTGGATGACCTTCTTCCTCTCCATGCCCTGACGCAGCGACACGTTCTGCGTGATGTCAGCAGCGATCTTGGAGATGTCTCTGGACTTCCCGTCCAGCCTCTGGATAAGACTGAGATGAAGAGGGGGGATGAGAAGACGAGAACAGAGACACGTGACGTTCACGTCAAACTAAACGCTCGGACTCACTTCCTCTGAGTGCTCGCCATTTTCTTCTCCCACGCCGTTTTGCTCGTCTTCTCTTCTGCTTCGTACTTGAGCTTTTCCTGTTGGATGAAACGATAATGAAACTCTCTAAAGAAGAAGGGGACGCGTCCTCTGAGTGTTTGATGTCCTACCTCCTTTATGGCCTTCAGCAGGTCGGCTTTGTGCGGCGTGTTGGGCGGGATGCAGCGATGGCCGCAGAGCTTGAGCGAGGTCATGAACACGGCCACGGCGTTCAGATCCTCTTTGCTCAACTCGTCTTTGTGGTCGTGCAGCATCTCGTACAGGTAGAGCGACAGCTTGGGCCCGTGCTGAGAGAAGAAGAAAGAGACCTGGTTAGATGTTTAGCTGAAGACAAGTTAACACTTTCACGTTTTCTAATTTAGTCTCCTGATGAAAATATATTTTAGATTTATTCAGATATTATTAATTTGTTATTGACTTAATTTATTCACTGAGGGTCGCACATCATTTTAGTTGATGACAATAGAAGATATTTTAGTCAACAAAATCAGACGCAAGCTTTTATTTATATTATCAGAAGCTCCAGGGGGCGGGGCTTCACAGACCTGCAGGCGAGAGGCTCCAGGGGGCGGGGCTTCACCTTTGATGAAGTCTGCTCTGGTTTACAATGATTTGAGAACAGCTGAGGGGGGAACTTGATAATGTCCACTTGTAATGTAGTTTTTGTTTTCGATGATGAAGTCATTTTATTCATCAAATCGTCAAACAGCCGAGTTTCTTCTCGTCATCGTCGACTAATTTAAAAAGACATTTGTCAACGAATATTTTCATCATTTATTTCGTTGACGAGATTAACACTGGGCTGAAGTCGACTCTCTAGTTGACCTTC